AGAACAATGTCTTGGCATGCTTTAAGGTCTTCAAACGGTCGTCTTCCAACGAAGCAGTTCCCTCAGTGGAAATGAACTGTTGTAGGGGCCTATGAAGCGGGAGCTTGGAGGGAGGGTTTGGTTTGGATGTTTTTTTTCAAACCAAAAAAAAAATGAAGATGTTTTAGAATCCTAGGTTCCTGGGCTTCCTAGGTTCTTCGGTCCCTGGGTTTCCAAGGTTCCTGGGTTCCTGGGTTCCTAGCTCCCTAGATGTATACGCTCTCGGGTTCCTAGGTTCCTAGGTTCCTGTTCCTAGGTTCTGGAATCATAGGCTCCTGGGTTTCTGGATTCCTAGTTTCCTGGGTTCCTCGTATCAAGAACCTTCAGAAGCATGTAGACTCTTAGGTATGGAAAAGGGATAGACAAGGGATTGGGAAAGGGAGTGGAAAAGGGAGTGGAAAAGAGAGTTGAAAAGGGAGTTGAAAAGCGAGGGAAAATGAAGCGGAAATGGAGGGGAAAAGGAAGTGGAAAAGGGAATGGAAGATCCTTTAGAATCCCAGGTTCCTGGGTTCCCAGGTTCCTGGGTTGCCTGTGCTCCTAGGTTCTTAGGTTCCTGCGTTCCTGGATTCCTAGGCTCCGAGGTTCCCAGGTTCCTAGGTTCCTAGGTTCCCAGGTTCCCAGGTTCATGGGTTCCTAGGTTCCCAGGTGCTGGACTCCAAGGTCTCTGGGTTCCTGGATTCCTAGCTTCCTGGGTTCCTCGTATCAAGAACCTCCAGAATTAATTGCAAACCTAGGTATGGAGAAGGGATAGACAAGGGATTCGGAAACGGAGTGAAAAGGGAGTTGAAAAGTGAGTTGAAAGGGGAGGGAAAAGGGAGTGGAAAGGGAGGGGAAACGAAGTGAAAAAGAGAATAGAAGATCATTCAGAATTCTAGATTCCTGGGTTCCTGGGTTACTGTGCTTCTAGGCTCCTAGGTTCCTAGGTTCCTAGGTTCCTAGTGCTAGTGTCCTAGGTCCTGGCGTTCATGGGTTCCTAGGCTCCTAATCTAGGATCCTACGTTCCTAGGTTCCTAGGTCTGGATTCATAGGTTCCTGAGTTCCTGGGGTCCTAGTCCCCTGAGATCCTAGTATTAAGAATCTTCAGAAACCTTTACATTCTTAGGGGTGGAAAAGGGGTGGACAAAGGAGCGGGAAAGGGAGTGGGAAAGAGAGTGGGAAAGAAAGTGGACAAGTAGGTTGAAAAGGGAGTGGGCAAGGAATGGAAAGGGAGGGACAAGGAAACGGAAAACGGAATGGAAGGGTTCCTGGGTGTCCCAGGTTCCTAGGTTCCTGGGTTCCTAGGTTTCTGGGTTCCCTGGGTTCTTAGGTTCCTAGGTTCATGGGTTCATATGTTCTCTGGTGCCTAGGTTCCTGGATGTCTTGGGTTCCTAGGTTAGTGGGTTCCTCGGTTCCCAGGTTCCTAAGTGCCTAGGTTCTTGGGTTCCTAGGTTCCTAGGTTCTGGATTCATAGGTTCCTGGGTGTCTGGGTTCCTACGTTCCTGAAGACCTAGTGTCAAGAAACTTCGGAAACCATTAGATCCTTAGGCATGGAAAGGGGATGGAACAGGGAGTGGAAGAGGGAGTGGACAAGGGAGTGGAAAAGGGAGTTGAAAAGGGAAGGGGAAGGAAGTGGAAAGGCAGGGGAAAAGGAAGTGGAAAAGGGAACGAAAGATCCTTCAGAATCCTAAGTTTCCTGGGCTCCTGGAGTTCCTTGGTTCCTAGCTTCGTAGGTGCTTAGGTTCATATGTGCCTGGCTCCCTAGGTTCCTAAGTTCCTGGGTGTCCTGGGTTCCTAGGTCCCTGGGTGTCCTGGGTCCCTTTGTTCCTGGGTTCCTAGGTACTTAGGCTCCTGGGTGGCATGGGTTCATGATTCCTAGGTTCCTAGGTTTCTAGGTTCCTGGGCCTCTGGATGTCCTAGTTTACGGATTCCTAGGTTCCAAAGTCTCTGGATTCCAAGTATCCTGGATTCCGTGTATCCAGAACCTTCAGAAACATTTCCTTGTATCCAGAATTTTGTATTACATAAAAAGGGGAAACAGGGAGTGAAGAAGGGAGTGGGAAATGGAGTTGAAAAAGGAAGGGAAAAGGAGGTGGAAAGGGAGGGGAAAGGAAGTGGGAAGGAAGTGTAAAGGGGAAGCTTTACGAAGCGCATGGACATGAACCCAGCGCGGCCCCAGAGTACTTAGAGCTATTCTTTCTACAAGCAATGCAGAGCAACGCATTGCTTGGCATTGATTAGCAATACTTGGCATTGCTGAGCATTGCTTGGGAGTGCAATGCATTGCTTGGAACCGTTGCTTGGCATTGCTTGTCGTTGCTTGGCATTGCTCTTAATCACTTGTCATCACTTGACGTTACTCGGCAGATACTGGCATTGCTTGACGTTGCTTGGCGTTGCTCGGCGTTGCTTGGCATTGCTTGGAGTCGTTGATTGGCATTGTTTTGAATTGCTTGGAATTTCTCGGCGTTGCTTGGCATTGCTTGGCATCGCATGGCATTCCATGGCATTCCTTCGCATTCCTTGATACTGCTTGGAGTCATTGCTTGGCATTGCTTGGAGTCGTTGCTTGGCATTGCTTTCCACTGCTGTGCATTGCTTGGCAGTGCTCGGCACTGCAAGGACCGGGAAACACACGGAGCGAGGCTGGGAAGCCCGAGGGACGAGACCCGGGAACCCGAGAAAGAACGGCAAGGCCCAAAGAGAGAGACTGGGGAGCCCGAGCGAGGCAGCAAGGAAACCACGACCGCGGAGCCGAGCGAGGCCCAGGGCCACCACGGATAAGCAACGTCCCGCCCCGATCGTCGAACGGACGAGGGCAACTTGGGCAAGTCTGGGTGGAGGAAAATACTAAGCCTCATCGGCAAAACCCGAATCGCTATCATAAGCATAAGCATAATCATAGAAAGACAACATCAACAACAACAGCAGCAACAAAAGCAACAACAACAACAACAACAACAACAACAACAACAACAACAACAACAACAACAACAACAACAACAGCAACAATCAGTTTAAGACTGTTCGCTCCTACCTGCTCACGTGCCAATCAAAACGTATATCCCAAACACTCGGTACCCGCTCTCGTCGTCTTCGATCGTACCCCCTTGGGGGTGTATCTTCCTTACCTGCCACGTGTATTCAGTGCAGCCCCTAAAACAAGGGAAGAGAAGACGGGTGGAAGGGGGAGGGAGAAGAATGGAGCACGAGATAAATTAGCAGGAGGGGGGCAAGGAGCGGAAAACAAGTGGTAGAACCAGACGGGCAGATCGGGCGGGCAGACCCATAGCAAGCAGATCGGAAGGCGGGCCCAGGCGACGAGGTCGAGCATGCGGGTTGCTGAAGCGTGGGTCCCGCATGAATCGCGAGGAAGTCTCGACCGATAGCACGATTCCCAAGTAAATCGTGAGAAAAGCCAGCGTGGGCCACGAAGGGCATAAAATCCGAGGCCAGAAAGGGCAGCGACGGGGCCGCTGAGGGCAGCACCGGGGCCACGAAGGGCAGCGAGGGGGCCACAAAGGGCGACAACTGGGCCACGAAGGGCATGCATATGGGGCCACGACTGGCGCGAGCGAGCGGGGGTCAAGAAGGGCATTCGTATACGGGGCCACAAAGGGCGACAGCGGGGCCACTGAGGGCAGCAAAGGGGCCACGACGGGCAGCGAGGGGGCCACGAAGGGCGACAGCGGGGCTGCAAAAGGGCAGGCGCACATGGGGCCACGGCGGGCGCGCGCAAGCGGGGGCCACGGAGGGCGGGGCCACGGAGGGCAGCGACGGGGCCGCTGAGGGCAGCCACGGGGCCACGGAGGGCAGCGGGCGAAGGCCACCGCGGAACCGGCACGGCCAGCGACGGGGCACCGAGGGCAGGCGGAGGGCGGCGAGCGGCGACGGCAGTCGTGCACGGCCACTGGGGTCGGGCGGCCGGACCCCGGCGGGGCGGGTCGAGCGGGCGGGTCGCTGAAGCGCGAGGCGAGCTCGAGCCGCCAGGCAACGCGCAGCGGGAGCGCGACTCCTGAGCGTCGAGGACTGGCAGCGGGATCAACGGTGGAGAAATACCCAGCGAAGCTGCTCAATATGATGTGCACTGGGCGGTGGGTATTACCAATAATCATTCTTCTGAAGTGAGAGTTCAACAACAACAACAACAACAACAACAACAACAACAACAACAACAACAACAACAACAACAACAACAACAACAACAACAGCAACAGCAACAGCAACAGCAACAGCAACAGCAACAGCAACAACAACAGTAGCAACAACAGTAGCAACAGCAGCAACAACAACAGTAACAGCAATAGCAACAACAACAATTACAACAACGACAACAACAACAATGAAAAGAATAGCAAGTCTACTGAAAATGATACAATGATAAAGATATTGAAATAACCATGCGACTAATACTAATAGTAACAATAATATAAATAGTAGTAATAGAAATATTAATCATATTAAAAAACAAAAATAATAATAGTAATAATTAGAACGATGAGAATGATGAAGATTGAAAATAAGGCAAGAACCACAAACTGACGTCTGCGAGAGGAAAGGGCGATGGCGAGAGACGCCTTAAAGTTGGAAACACGCACACGCGACCAGACGCACCAGCCCCGCGCGATGACCGCACAGCGCGGAGGGCCAGCGCACCCGTCCACAGAGGGCCGCGCGCAGAGACACGCGGCCACGTGAGGATCCAGCCCTCGCCCGGGCCAGCCGCGACCCGTGCATCGAGCTTCCCAGACCCCCGCGGGTCACGAAAAAATCATGACGGGCACCTTTCGCTATTTTCAGCCTCTGGGGGCCCTCACCGGCCCTCGGGACCGTCAAAAAGCAGCTCGGAGCGAAAAACCGGTGCAGAGGAATGGGTCAAGACTTTTGGGGGGCCGACGTCATGAAAAAAATCATGACGTCGGGGGTCTGGGGTGCTGAGGCCTGTTCGGGGCCTCCTGGGCCCGCTTGCAGCCCCTCCGCCCCGCCTCCTTCCAGAGCTCGCGCTCGTGCTTGACGCGCTCCAGCTGCGACTCGATGTGCTGCTGGGAGATCTGCAGCAGCCGCAGGACGCTGTGGTCCGCCTTCTTGGCGACCATGTCCAGCACGTTGCGGAAGCGCTGCGAGCACCTCTGACGCCACGCCTTGTCCACGCGGAAGGACATGTTCTCCGCGCACTCCTCCCAGCCCAGCAGCTCTACGTCCGCCTCGCCCTGGTCGCCGCCCTCGGCGTCGTCGAACTTGGGGCCGGGGAAGACGCCGACGACCTGGGCGAACTTGACCACGCCCTTCGTGAGAGAGGCGGTGCAGTGCTTCAGGTCCTCGAACGGCTTCTCGTTCACCTTGGTGTCGAGGACGTCGTGGACGGCGTCCATCTGGGCCTTCCAGTTCTGCTCGTCCATGTTGCGCTGCTTCTCCATCTTGCGCATGGCGTCGCTGTTCTTCTGGATGTCCACCTCGTGGGACGCGCTCTTCACCGTGAGGCCGTTCACCTCCTCGCGCAGCTTCAGGATGTCGCGCTTGTGCTCGCCGAGGCCGCCCTGCACGCCGCTCATGCGCAGGTCCAGCGCGCCCAGGCGCCGCGAGGCCTCCGCGCTGCGGAGCTCGGCCTGCTGCTCCACCGCCGCGATCTTCTCGAACGCCTCCTGCTGCTTCTGGCGCACGTCGTTCTTGAGGCGGGCCTCGGTGTCAGCCACGTTCCGCTCGAGGTCGCTCCTGACCACGGCCACCTCGTTGAAGCAGTCGCTGAGCGAGTTCTGCGTGGTGTGCAGGCTCTCCTGCGTGGCCGCCAGGTCCTTGTTGGTGAAGTCGATCCTGCCGTTCAGCGCGTTCACGGCCTGGTCGGTGTCGCTCGTGATCTTCGCCTTGGACTCCTCCAGGTTGGTCTCGACGGCAGTGACGTCGTGCCTGATTGTTGCCAGGATCTCGTCCACCTTCCGACGGCGCGCATCCACGTCCAGCCGCAGGGAGGAAACCATGTCCCTCACTGTCTTGACGGCCGCGTCCAGGTCGTCGTTGGCCTCTTTCCAGGCCACGTTGTCCACCTTGGTGTCCAGCTTGGTGTTCATCTCGTTCTTCAGGTTGATGACGTCCTCCGTCAGGTTCTCCTCCTTCTCCTGCATCTGCTGCAGGGTGTTAGAGACATCCTCCATCCACGAGTCGTGATTCTTAAGGGCCTCCTGGATGTCCCCGATGTCGAGCCGCATGGTGGAGATTTCAGCGGTCATCGTGGCCTCCACGCGCTGTCGGCTTGTGATGATGGAGTGCGTGGCGTCTACCCGCGCGCGCATCTCGTCGAGGTCGACGTTGACCGCATCCATTGCAGCGGTGAAGTCCTCCATATCGCGCTCGCATGCAAGCACAATGCGGCGAACGTGATTCACCTCGCCTTTGTTGTTGTTCAGGAGATCCTTGAGCTCACCCACGTCAAACTTGAGCTGGTCCAGGTCCTCCGCCATGGTATCGAGCCCCGCGGACGGCCCAGCAGCGTCCAACGGCTTCATGGAGGATGCTCCGCGGCTCACGTGCGAAAGCTTCTTGTCGAAGTCGCTCTGCATGTTGCTCAGCTGGGCAGTGAGCTGAGCCTCGAAGTCCTGAAGCCTCGTGGACACCTTCTTCAGAATCTGGGCATCGCTGCTGCCTGGAGGGCCCTGCTTCTTCCCGGCGCCGTCGCCATCGCCTGCACTGGCGGACAGCGCCGCCAGCTGCGCCTCCAGATTGGCCAGGCGCTCCTCGGGACTGCGAAGCTCTGGGGGACCGCACTAGAGTCAGGAGCAGACGAAACGATAAGTACGTTCCAGCTGGATTTGCAGGTCGCGTGCAGCACAAAAGAAGGACGTGGCCGAGTGCAGCCAGCCGAGGGCGACAGACTCACCTCAACTACAAGCCCCAAATCAGATGTGTCCATCCCCTGTCTAACAATTGCAAATATTCGGAGAACCCTGCTAGAGGTATGCACTCTGCTAATCGACTGTACCCCTTTGACGTATAGATGTGGGACTCTGCAGGTGTTCCACACTGCGCGGTCACCCCACATTTCTATGGCCTGGCTCCTCCACAGCCGACATGAGCGCTGCGGGACCCCGCCAGGATGGGCCGGATGGACTCGGCTTGACAACGTGCTGGCACGGACTGCTGACTGCATGCGTGAAGATAACATGATGACGCTGCCTTTGTGGACAGTGAGCGTAAATGAGAAGTCAGAGGAAGATAATGCCGATAGCGTTTCCGGTGACGACGATGTTCCTGCCGATGCTGATGGTGTGCAAGCGAAGACAGCAATAACGATGCCCATCATCGTCGTTGCCGTCTTCGCTATCTTTCGTGGCCACGACCACGACAAAAATTATCGCCGTAGATTGGCTGCCATCGTCGCCATCGTTCTGTTCTGCTTCCAGGAGTTGGATGCGGGAGCGCAGCCAATGAGCAGACACATCCAATTGGACCTGCTCTCAGCATTGCTTAAAATGTTTGCGTCGCTCGCGGGCTGCTGCAACTAATGACCCAGCTTCTGATTCTGACTTGGCGTATTACATCCCATCTATGCCACGATGCGACCACATATGTTACACAATTCGCCTACATGATTCATATAATAATATTCCATAATATTGGTCGGCTTCGAACGTACATCTAGCTTCGCAATTTGCACGAATGAGCCACTGCATTCATGTTACTTTTCACATTATACACCTAATTCCTTTGGGTTTGCTGACACGCTAGAACTATCTGAATCATGTGTACGGTCCACCCACACTTACGATATCTCTCTGCAAGCCACACGCGACCACCGAGCCGAGAGACGAGCTCGTGCATTGAAGCGCAGAAATGAAAAAGGGGCAGGAAGGAGATGGTACCGAAGGAAAGGGAAAGGAAGGGGAGCGCTTGCGTGCGCAAGCACATGCGCACATGCGCGCACGTCATTGCCCGAGCGTTGTCCCGCGATGCGGTAATTGATCTGCACCCCATCAAGATCAACGCACAGTCCCGACAAGGATACTGAGACTCATCCCCCAACCAAACCAGCACAACTGGCTAGAGGTTCGCCGAGCGCCTCGAGCCGTGATACAGGTCCACTTGTATTGGTGCCAGCTCCGTTTGACACCGCACTGGGAGAGACACCCTTTTACTGAAGGGGCCCTGGGACACACAACTAGATAGACACAGATAACAGGATTTCCTATATTTTCCTATAGTTTCTGGGTTCTTTTCTTCCCCCCCACTTCCCATATTTTCCCATCTTTTCCTGGGAATCGACGATTAATTGTGTCTGTGGTTTTTTTCCTCCTGACTTCCCAACACCCCCAGGCACTGGCCCCAGGAAAACTCGACGGTCTCCCGCGGACCGCCGGGCAGGCTCCGCAAAGGAGTGCCACCCTCCAACCCCGCCCCCTTCTCGGGATCTTGCCAAGAGGGCCGAAGAGTGTCAAGCTGGAGCAGGGGCTGTGCTGACAGAGACCGTATTCCTGGGACATTGATCCGCGGCGCGCTGAGGGAGTCGGACGAAGGGAGACCTTCGATGAAGGCAGGAGCTCTGTAGAAGCGCTCGAAGGCTAGAAGGTGAAGGATTCTTACAAGGCAGGGCGGGGGTCTGAGAAGCCTTGTGCCTCCCCAGGTCACCACTTGCCCCTCACCCTTGTGCGCACCGCCGAAGGGTGGCCCAAAATCCTCCAGAGCTCAGAGGGCCCTGGAAACGACAGGGCACTTTGTTTTGCCAGATTCGTTTTGCCGCTTGTTTTGCCGGGTCGGGCGCCGTGCTTCTTCCTGTTCCATGGCCGTTCCTGGTTTTCGATTCCGGTCCCAGTTCCAGGCACGGAGCTTAGTTTCCCGTTTCTTGGAACAGCTTATTTCTCACCGTTCTCATGCTCCAGACCACGGTTTTCTCAAAATAGGCTTTCCTATAGAAGTCCTAGCTCGAACCATATAGAACTGACCCACTAATACCTTCCATGCATTTTGCCCCTACATGCGTTGCGTCCTCTGTTGCGCATGGCTGCCTTTGTTGCGCATGGCTGCCTGTGCAATCCGCATGGCTTGCGATGTTGCCCCTACACACGTCCTCTGTCGCGCATAGCTTCCTCTGTCGCGCATGGCGTCCTCTGTTAGTGTCCTCTGTTGCGCATGGCTTAATTTGTTGCGCATGGCTTCCTCTGTTAGTGTCCTGTGTTGCGCATGGCTTCATTTGTTGCGCATAATTTCTTCTGCTATGCACATGGTTCCCTCTGTATCCGCATGGCTTCCCCTGCTATCCGAATAGCTTCCTCTGCTATCCACACGGCCTCCTGTGGGTATTTCGAAGGCGTCCGAACAGCAACAATCGTTCCACAATCATCAAGCTCAGAAGTAGAGAAGAGTAGAGCATAGTAGAGCAGAGCAGAGCAGAGTAGAGAAGAGTGGATGAACAAAGTAGCGCAGAACAGAATGATCTAGAGTGGAATAGAGTAGATGATAGAGAAGATCCGAATAGAGTAGAGCAGAGTGGAGCATTCGGAGATGAGGGGGGAGATCGCAGTGAAAAGGAGAACCCCCCACCAGGAAATCGGTTTCGATTTCGAGTTCGTGTCGCGCGTGCGGGCGAGGCGAAGCTGCGTGGGCGGGCGAAAGGAATGAACCCTCCTCTGGCCAGGGCGCCGCCGGGCCAAGAGATCACCCCCCAAGCTTATCCGGCGGTGGCCGGGGGTGTCTCGTCGGTGTTCCGTCGGTATCCCGTCGGTGCCCCGTCGGTGTCCTGTCGGTGTCCCTTCGCTGCCCCGTCGGTGTCCCATCGGTGTCCCGTCGGTGTCCCGTTGGTGTCCCGTCGGTGTCCCGTCGGTGCCCCGTCGGTGACCCATCGGTGTCCGGTCGGTGTCCTATTGGTGTCCCGCTTGTGTCCCGTAGTGAGATCGATAGTGAGATCGATCGTGAGTCCGATAGCAAGATCGATCATGAGATCGATAGTGAGATCGACAGTAAGATCCACAGTGAAATCGACAGTAAGATAGATGGTGAGGTCGAGAGTGATATCAATAGTAAGATCGATCGTGGGATTGAAAGTGAAAAGAATAGTGAGATCGATTGCGGGATCGATTGTGGGATCGATAATGAAATCGATAGTGAGATCGATAATGAGAACGACAGTGAGATCGAAAGGAAGATCGATAGTGAGACCGATAATGAGACAAATACTGAAATCGATAATACAATCGATAGTGAGATCGATAGTGGGATCGATTGAGTGAGACGTTGGTCCCCCCCCCCGCCCCGAGCCTCCTTATCACCCGAAGGGTGGTCGTATAGAATAGTGCACGGTAGAGCAGGGTAAAGTAGGTTAGGTAGGTAGGGCAGGGTAGCGTAGGGTAGGGAGATAGGGTAGAGACGTGGGGTAGAGAGGTTGGGTAGAGTAAAGCAGAGCACTTTAGAGTAGGGTAGACGATAGGATAAGGGTCGGGTGGTGTAGAGCACATGAGACTTGAATAGAATAAGGCAGAGTAAGCTAGAGTAGAGCAGATTAGAATGGAGCTCGGGTGTGGTAGGGTAGGGTAAAGTACAGTACGGTGGGGTAGGGTAGAGCAGAGTCGAATAGGGTAGATGGTAGGGTATAACAGGGGAGGGTAGAGGCAGAGTAGGGCAGGTGGTAAAGTAGGGCCAGGTATCATTGAAGAGGGGAGAGGAGAGGAGAGCAGAGGAGAGGAGAGGAGACGAGACGAGAGGCGAGGAGAGGAGAGGAGAGTATATCAGATGAGAGTAGATAGAGCATAATATGGTTGGAGCGGATCAGAGAAAGTGTAGTAGGAGTAGATGAGAGAAGAGCCAAGTAGGAGTAGACTACATTACATGACCAGTGTCAGGTAGGGTAGAGGAGGGCAGGGAAGAGTAGGCAAGAGTATAGTAGAATAGTACAGATGGTATATCAGAGTCGGGGAGAATATACTAAAGCATGAGGAAACAAAAAAATAGAATCGATGAGAAGAGAAGGAAGGAGAGGAGGGGACTTTGGAGCATAATACAACATGAGTAGGCTGGAGCAGAATAGAGCACACATTGGAAAGGGATAGGAGCAGGAGTCATCTCAGCCAGGTCGGACGAGGCAGAGGCCCCCGCCTACTCCCGCCCCCCCCCCAACCACAGCATAAAAATCAGATGTGGCACAACTTGGTCCTATGATTGGCACGCGCTCCCTCCTCGCCAGCAGAAGGCGTCCGCGCGCGGCCCCGCTGCCGACGAGCGGGCGAAGAGAAGACTGCACGGGCCGCGCAGGGGCGGGAGCGGCAAAACTTCTGGCGGACGCCGCGGCGACAGAGCATGGGCCGCGCTGACTCGGCATTGCCACTTTCACTCGCAGGCTGCGATCCGCCTGGGCGAGGTCGTCATTGCGCCCGCTCTCGCGCGGGCCCGTTGCCGCCATCGCTGATCGTGCGCTCCGGCGAATTTGAGCGCTGCGCCGCGCCCGCGCTGGAACGCCACTCCGAGGTCAGATGCGCACGGAACCTGTGCGAGGGCGACACGTCGCCGACCCGCGCGGGCCCCAAACATTCAGCGAGCCACAAACAATGCGAAGCGTCGAGGAGGGAGCGCCACTTTCGGGCGAACAACCTGCGCGGCGCCAGGGCGAGGGCGACGCCTCGGCCTCTCTCGCGCGGGCTGTGCGCCCCGTCCCGCCTCTGCCACGCATTTCGCAACATGGAGGACACAGTGTCCATGTTGAGACGAGAAAAAAATCGATCGTGTCTTGTGTTTCTGATGGTTGGGATCG